AGTAGTAGTATACTTTATTTACCCTCGGATTGTAGAGTAGCTTTAACAGCTAATGTCTCCGAGCATTTCAACAGCACAATGGGCAGAGACCAGACCACGACACCGGGAACTTCGCGCCCTGCTCTTTACGATTAGTGTGTGGGTTCTTTAACGTCCCCTGCTGACCATAACAGTGAAGATGCAGGAGACGGGGCCTACGGTTTATCGTCCTTATCCGAGAGGACTAGAATATCTAACCATTTGCAGATGTCATTGCAAAGGCAGCATATTCTCCTCAGTTATTTTAAGACCCTGAGTGTTAAACCGGTCTGGGGCTCGAACCCGAGACCTCCCGCACGGTAGTCCGACGCTCTACCAACTGAGCTAACCGGTCGGCGATATTGGGCCTACATTTTCCAAGTCGATCTCAATCCTCACCAATCTTAACCAATCTTATTCCTTATTCCTTAGCATTATATAAAGGAGATATTGACATAAATATGCTTATTATGTTGGCTAATTATGACGGATGGTGCATCCAAAACCTTCCAGGTCTATCGTTCGTAATCCGCCTTGAGCAGTCTTCCCCAATCCTAAACACCCTGGTTACTTATATATTGGGGAATGTTAACATAATTATGTTAATTATGTTAATTATGTTAATTATGTTAATTATGTTGGCGAGGGAGCCATGTCAAGGATGGTGCATCCCAAACTTTCCAGGTTTTAACGTTCGTAATTCATTCCAATTACTCCCAATCCTAACCATCCTTGTTACTTATATATGGGTGATGTTAACATAACTTTTTTTTAATTATGTTGGCAATGGATCCTGGTAATGTATGCTGTATCCTAAGCTTTCCATGTTCATTGTTCGTAATCCGTCTCAATTCTTCCCAATCTTCATTAGGTAAACTTTTTTGTGGTACTGCAATCAGTAGTAGATTTGCACGATATCGCCATTTGACTACAACTACCAGAATTCCTTTCGTTTTTATTTTATTATTTAAATTTTGAAGCCCTAGTGGGGTTTAAATGGCAATTGCTCTAAATAACATGAGAAACAGAAAACGTGGTGGTTAAAATCAAATTACGCCATCATGCAAACCGCCTATTTAAAGAACATTCCCTTCACTAGAAGCGAATCACTAAAGATGGGTATACTGGGGATTCTTGCCAATCTGTAATAATCTCGTTCTAAAGTTTGCGTCCCCTTCACCATGAAATAACGTAATAAATTCTTATGTTCTAATGATAACACAACTTACTTTCAGAGAGAGTCGAGAAAGTATTGTCAGATGTGGGAGACCATTCTGATACGGGATTTGTTTTAGCTGTGGATGGTCTGCAAACAGAATTGAAAAGGCAGGGTTTACAGCGTCTGTATCAAAAGAAACTGGTAAAAATACTTTACGTACATTGCACATCACTACAAAGAGAGTAAAATGATGGCACTTGCTCGAAACAATCAGAGGCTGGACTGCACCTCTATGAACAAACATCTCCAAAATTCTATAATACCAATAAGGGACACTATAACTTTACCGTCAAGTAATGTTCAAAAAAATATGTTCAAATGTTGTTGTTTATAGTGGCCAATGCGCTCAGCTACACCTAGCAAGTTCAGAGGCATGCTACTTAAACTGAAAGATACAAAGATATCGAATAAACATAACAGGCTTAAGAATCCCAACTGGTGGAAGGCAGACCAGTTGGCTCTTTACAAGCATGACCGAGGAGCTGAATTAGGGTCTACCGAGAAACAACTCCAGCTAAGTAGTCAGAGCGGGACTTGAATCCGCGTCCTCCGCATTTCAAGTCCGGCGCCCCAACCACTCGACCACGCCGCCTACCTCATGTTAGTCGGTGGCGTATCTGGAAACTGGTGAAGTCTTCGCTGTTTAGCTTTAGGACTTGAAATACGATCCAAACTCTGTGGGGAGAAATATAAAAATTATTGATACAGATTTGAAACAAGGACAAATTTAGCACCATCGAAAATTGCTGCTAACCTCCAACAGTCTTGTGGACAAAGTGCTGGCGTCTAAGGTTTCTTGCTGTGGAGAGTAACAAAAGTCCGTTAAGCTTCGACACCAAAATGAATGCCGTGGTTTCTCCATTAATCCCCCAAACCCCCCCCCTCCCCCCCCCTCTCTCACCCCGACACTTATTGCAACCTTGATTAATGCTCAAGGCGTCATCGCGAAGTAATACTGGCGACGTTTACTTAAAGATCGTCCTGCTAAAAAGTTACATGGGTCTTGCAGGTTTTACCAACCGTAATGCAAGCTGCACAATGTTTTTGCAAATCATAACATGTCTGGTGATACTTGCAACGATGCTTTTCAACTTGCAGTGCAAACGTTTGCAACATTGGTAGCTACTGATGCACGACAAGTTGTAATAAAATGGTGCCCATATAACTCAGTCTTTACAGAGCTCGGCAACTGCATAAGTATTATACATTATTTACCGGGAGTGGAGCAGTAACAATTCATAATTTGATGTTAAATATGCTGGCCGGGCCGAATGGTTTGTTTTGTATCAAATGAGCTACTCCTCTAAAATTACTCGACATCACGTCACGTGATGTTGTTGAACCAATCATAGAGACAAAATGAGTCACACGACATTCCTCTCACCCTGTAGTCTTCAGCCATTGATTTCGCTCCTTGAAGTTCTCGCCGAATACTTCCAACTCTTTCTTTATATCTGAACAGAAAACTTTAAGCTGAGCACAAAATCATCCATAAAATGTGTTGCTTCTTTGGCGCTCATTCTGTAATTTTTTTGGTCATTTAATTAATAATAAATATGTTCAAACATTCTATGCCAAACCAACGCGCCTCGTGCTAACTGTTAAGTATTTCTTTCAATTTAAGATAACTTCTCCTTTACTATTCTGTACAACATTCAAAATGGCGGTCCCGAAACACGCACCAAAACGTGGTGCACATAATCACTGAAGGCGAGAACTAACAAACGTATCACGTGTTTTTCGTCGAAGGTTGCCTAGTAACGAGGCGTAACCTTATGACGTCAAGCCGTACAGTCTTTCATATGCTCGCGGGTTCTCGCAATGTGTTCTAATTGGTGGAACCATTTCGGATACTTTTGCGACTTCTTCCGACTCGCTTACGAGCAGAAATTTAGAGCCAGTGTAACTCACCTGACATACTTGTCATGAAGTTTGTCTCTTTCTCTCTGCTCGCCCTGAAACAAAGTCATCAACAGCTATTTCAGTCAATCAATTGATTAAACCAGAAGGATATCACCTAGTCTAAGTGATATGCTTTTGATCAACCTTTATATCTCGTTTTAATTTACATTTTTACAGTTAGACCGGCCCACGGTAAAGAATGAAAAAAGGAAGTGAGGGGTTATCAGATTAATTAGATAAGATATGTACATCTATTACTACTTTTCAGTTTGCGAATAACAAACTAGCATACACTGATCAAATCACACTTCATCCAGAAAACAAATCTAGAAACTCCATATTCTGTTTTCATCAGTTCGTCTTCTTCACAGCCTTTAGTTCAATTGCGCTTCTCGTTAGCCAACCCTACCCTTCCTTCCCCGCCCCTTAACGTTTTTGAAATTGCAACGTCGGAAAAGACACAAGCTAATGTTTGGTGATCCCTTATTTAATTACGTACCCGTAAGCCCTCAAATTCTTCTAAAACCTTTTGCCGATCATCCAGGGCTTCGGCCGTGGCGTGTAGGGCTCGTGTACTCTGTAGATACAACAACAAACGTATTTTTTGGAAATTGTGCTGAGACCTTTGTTGTAGGTGGGAAGCACGGTGGCCTCATGGTTAGCGCTCGTCTCCGGATCAAGCGGTCTGGGTTCGAACCCTGGTCGGGGACATTGCGTTGTGTTCTTGGGCGAGACACTTTACTCTCACAGTGCCTCTCTTCACCCAGGTGTATAAATGGGTTCTAGCGAAATTAATGTTGGGGGTAACCCTGCGATGGACTAGTATCCAATCCAGGGGGGAGTAAAAATACTCCTAGTCGCTTCATGCTCCTGAAACCGGGATAAGCTCCGGCCTGATGGGCCACTTGGCTCGTATGCAGACAGTTTTATACCTAGACCTTTGTTGCTCTTACCGTTTCTAAATGAGCAGTCAACTGAGCTATTCTGTCCTAGAAAATAAAGAAAAATGTAAACTCATTCAACAAAGCAAACTTAAAAATGTGAATTTAAACATACAGCAAACATATTCGTATATTACAAGAAATCCCAGAGAACATTCGAAGATTAAATGCCGTTTTCTTTACAAACCTGGAGAGTTTTAATGTTGTCAGTATTCTGTTTGTTCTTCGATTCCAAACCTAAATACATAAACAAAGCTAATCAGTGCAGAGTCACAGAGTTTGTAACCTTTTAATTTCTGGACTTAAGTACTTCACTGACCTTAACTTAATACTTCAACCTTGCACACAATGTAAAACACTTGCTACTACTACACACCATAAAAATTATTACAATTTCATGCAATTTCGGAATTGTGAATAAATCGACTTTTGAGATAAGTTCCCAAGAACCCGCAAAGAAACTGCCAAGTTTTTAGTTTTCAACCACGCATGTTTCAACACAAAATATACACGTGGTATTTTCACGACAACAGGACGATTTTTCGCCCAAAAATAACACCCTTTATTATATGGCAAGGAAGTCATGAGGTAAATCTGAGCATTCTGATTGGTTCTTTCTTGGTCGGAATTTTTTCATACGAAGAAACGGTCATGAGCCGTGTATTTCGCCATATAATAAACTACTTACTAACCTAGCTTGCTCGAGTAATACTGGGAAATATTGACCCCTTGGTCGTTTTCGTACGGACCTTGCTGCGCTCGGTCCGTACTGCCACGACCTCGGGCCAAAATATTCCCCAGTACCGTTAGTAACCTATTTGTCTCACTTTGTGAGCCAACAAAAGTCGCCTAAAAATGTTCACTAAATCTTCGGAAAAAATAATTTCTTTCGTAATTACCTTTCTTTTGTGCTGCAAGTTCATCAAGCAGCATGCTCTGCTTGTCCAGTTCTGATATGAAGTACTCTTTGTCTTCGTCCGCCTTTTGGACAACATCCTAGCAATAAAATAAACACAAAGAAATCTCTGTTTCTTCCACTATGAGAGGATCATTGTGAGCATATCAGGGCAAGGTAGCCGCTTCGCTAACTCGTCTCACACTAGTGACTGGAGTAAAATTGGTTGGAGTGTGGCACAACAAGTAGCGTGACGAGCAATAAAATTGGTTGGACTGTGGTACAAGAAGTAAAGTTCAACACAACATGCACTTGTGTAAATGTATGTAAGCCTATGAATGACCGGATGATAGACTAGACAAACTTCAATACTTGTATCACAGTCCAACCAATTTCATTGCTCGTCACGCAGAACGGAGTGCGTGACGAGCAAGCGGAGGGGTAACTTGCGCGTTACGTTTTTGATAAGACGCAGTACAAACCCTGATTCTTTTCTGGCTCCAGTCAGCCTGTTCCTTTAACCTGCGTTCGGTTGAGAGGCGAGCTTTCAGCTCTTCAGAAAGCCAACGGAATTTACCCTTCAAACAACAAAGAAGCAAATTAACAATCAGCTAATCCGTTAACGTGCTCAAGGAAAGTTCAAAAATGCTCCTAAAAAACTTATGTGGTAATCATAGTGAAAAGTTCACGATTAATTTGTATCATGACCAATTTGTAAAGAAACTCTTTTACTGAGTTACCACCTAGCTAAGTTTATTCTTTAATCCGGAGTTGAAAAGTAGTCAGGTCATATTTTGAAGACTGTGGTTCATTTTCAGAAATCCTCAAAAACCTTCTGATTATCTTCGGATATCCTCGAGTACACTTCGGAACCTTCTTGGTCCTTGGGTGTCAGGCTACTGAATATGTTTGCCTTCGACGAACGAAAAATAACAGAAATTCTCTCCGTCTAAACACTTTTTAAGGACCATAAGCTTACTATATGACTTGTTAAAAGAAACGAGTTTAGTCAACATTACGGGAAAAGGGAAGATATACGTGTTTGGACATGTAAGCTTATTAGAGCAGGTGTTTTAGTTGTGCTTATGAAAATGAAAGTAGTGAAAACTGTACTCACTATCATGTCAGCAATCCAGGTTTGAGAATTGTTTCTTATGCTTCCATTGGCGAGCATAGACTGCAAACAAGCAATTAAAAGTAAGTTTTTACTTTTCTTGAGACTTGTCGACTTCACTAAAAAGGCCATTTCCGAGCTGCCTTATTCCTCTGTGTTAAAACGAGTCTGTGTTCCACCTGCAGGTTCATTTTCATGCAAATCAAACTGATTTCCGTGTGAAACGTTTTGCACGAAGACTAGTTTTGAAACAGAGGCACAAGGCAACTCGGAAATGGCCTATTAAGTGGTGACTGATTGATGGATCGATTGACGTACTCACCGGGAGGGGCATGTCCGAATCTCTGCAGACTTGCTCGATAACTCGATCTAACTGATCATCCACTTTCTGTAGACCAGACTATAGTAACAAGTAAGAAACTTAAGGTAATAAGTCGGATACAGAGCAGCCATAATGGCTCGTTAGAACACTAAACCGTATATCCACTCCTTGAAAAGATATTAATTGTCTATGCTTTCATTTAGCTCTTATTAACCGATCAGGAGGTCTGCATGGGAGAATCTTGACCGAAGTCGTGAGTACAGACCGAACGCAGTGAGGTCTGTACACACGACCGAGGTCAAGATTCTCCCAAACAGACCGACTAAGGTCGGTTAATAAGATGTTTATTATATGGCAAACAAGAAAAATTTAATTCTTTTAATGTAACTGGTTTGTACTATCTGGCATTTTCCTTGCGAACAGCGATGAGCTGAACTTAAATCTGCCAAAGTTTGCTTATCCCCTTTACTTTTTTTTCTCATCAAGCCTTTTGGCACTTGCATAATGAGAATATTTTCTGGAAATAGTATTTTTAGAAGAAAAGACTCAATATTTTTGTATTGTAGTTTGCAACTTTTTCACCGCAAAATGTAACTAGTCTAGATGCCGGTCTACATACGAAAATCTAGACCGCGGTCAATATCGATCTCAGCCAATCAAATTCGTGAATTCGGTTGTTCCCAGTCCTTGTGAGACACAGTCATATGATAAGAAACGAATACAGCATCGCTTGTACCTGTTGTTCCTCGGAAGCCTTCTCCAGCGCGTACTGATTTCGCCGCACAGCATCCTCTAACTGAGCGATCCTTGATATAAAACGAGAAAAGTAGATTTGTGAGGATGACACAAAACCCGACAGCGACAGAACCAGAAAAAAAGCATTAAAAAAGCAATCAAACAGACCTGCTCTGGTTGACTTCAATTGTCTCTTTCTGCAAATTGTAAACAGAAAATAATGTGAAGACATCAAATGATCATCGCAGTTATATAATGTCTTCATATCTTTCTTTCAAATATATGAACTTTCATATATTCACTTGCAGAAAATAATGTGTTCAAAACAGATAACAAATGTTGTACTACACAGAATATGGATTCAAATATTGCTGCATTTTACTTACCAAGTTTTCCGATTCCTCCTTGGCCTGTTCGTAGCGGGTTTTCAACTTGTTGTTTTCCTCGGTCGCTCTGATTGACAATGAAATCAAAGAACTTTCAAAATTTGTGTCTCTTTGTCGCCAAATTTTAGCACTGCACCCTAGCTCATTTAACGAAACCAAGAAAACTTTGCAGAGAAAAATGTTAATTAATTAGTTAACTCACACATTCAGCTCAGTGTTAAGTTTCTCCATCTCCTCCCGGTCTTTTTCTTGGCGTTTACGTAACGCTTTGATTGTAGACTTCTCATCCGCAAGTTGAATCTGCGTTTAAAGAACACTTGATTCACATCTCCTGTCGTTAGCGACACAATTTGTTGACACAACGACACCGAACCCTCCCCAGTAAGCCAATTTTCGTTACTGCCTACTTGACAAGCCATTAATGGAGATTACTTAAGTAAAACAGCCAATCAAGGAGCACTCAAACGCATTTGCAACTTTTTGACTTCTTCTTGTTAGTTTCCCAAGCTTCTCAAACAATCAAGACTCACTCAAACGGACGTGCAACTTCTTGACATCTTTTTGTTGGTTTCTCAAGCTTCCCTCCCCAGTAAGTCAATTTTCGTTACTGCCTACTTGACAAGCCATTAATGAGATTACTTAAGTAAAACAACCAATCAAGGATCAATCAACCGCAAATGCAACTTTTTGACACTTTTTTGTTGGTTTCCCAAGCTTCTTATCCAATCAAGGATCAATTACCCGCACGTGCCACGTTTTGACAACTTTTTGTTGGTTTTTCAAGCTTCTTAGCTAACCAAAGAGCAACCAAGTACAATCTTTTACCTCCAAGCCATTTTGACTTTTCCGCCTGTTCGACTAACTTTGTTTCTGATTTGCCAAGCAATAGTAAAACCAATATCAAAATGTGGTAACATCAACGCAACCAAGTTGAACTTTTCACTTGACCTTTTTACCTTCATATCGGCGATTTGATCCTCTATTTCACCTCTCTGTTTATTTGATTTTTTAGCAGCATCTTGTAGAGCTTGTTCGTGATTAGCCTGATGGGAGAAAGAAGAACGACATTGATTTTAGTCAGTTTAGAGAAAGTGTAATAACTGCACAACAAAACAGTGCGGTATCAAAAGTGAAACACAAGCACGACTGCTTAAATATGCATCACGTGATAAACGGGTGCGTATCGCGTGGCAATTGAGTATGCATCACGTAGTATGTTTGTCTTAGCTGGTCTTGACCTCACTCTAAGGCCCCTTCTACACTACGCTGGATAAATTTGAAAACGCTGCTTTATTTCCACGGTTAGGCCTACCGTCCACACTAATCCATCACGAAAACAGAGCATTTTGTAAACGCCCTTGAAACCAGGGGTATTTGGAAACCCCATCTTTACTTTTTCGTCTGGACGGAAAACATTTTAAAAGTGGAGTTTTTGGGACACAATGAAGTCACGATAATCATGACAAGAGATTTCCCTTCGCGAGTTTTCCTCAAACTCAAATCCGAAATGACCGGTCACGGCGGTGATTGTTGCGGTTTCAAATCTTTCCAGCGTAGTGTGGACGGAAAACATTTGTTGCGTTTCCAGAGTCAAAACATTCTCCGGCGAAGTGTGGACGGGGCTTAAAGGGCGTGGACTGCACTGCAGACAATCAGCACTTTAGCAGTTACATAAATTTACAGATAAGGCGAGAATGCAACGTACCGTGAGAGACTGGATCTGTTCCTCAAGCTCTCTCAGTGCGTTCGTGTGCGCATCTCGTTCCTAATAGGGTAAAAGAATAGATAAGTACGCGATCAAGTGTGATGTCGCGATAAAGATGTTAAACAATGCAGGCTTGCGTACTTGTTGCAGCTGAGCGTAGAGTGACGCGGCCTCTTCTTTAGTGGCTCTCTCCTGATGTCTCGCTTCCAAAATACGTTCCTCGTAATTCTATATAAGTTGAAAGACATTAGATAAATTAACGCCACGATAATACTGAGAAAACTATAAAATTCGATAATGAACGGCTCGAAAAAAGTCCCTAGATACCCAACCCCTCTCCTCACCCCACCCCCAAAGAAAAAACATTTTTTAAACACAAGTTTATTACGGAATTTTTAACCCAACTTCACTCGAGCGTCTCGTAATCTTACATCATCTCGCAATAAGTAGTTCCAGTGCCCTTGACCCACCTGTCGCTGCTCGGCTTCCTCTTGGAGTTTGGAAACTAGCTTGGCCACTTTCGCACGCAGTTCTTTGATTTCCTTCATCTCTTTCTACAGAAATACGAGGTTGAGGTTCAAATGAGTCAGAACGTGTTGTCACCAAACGAGACACAAAAAAGGACACAAAGTGAAGTACTACATGAAGTATCACATACCAACGGTTCTTGCGGGTGCGCTGAGAGTCCTTGTTCTGCCTGCCGTTCCAGCCTCTTGCATTTTGTACGATATCTAGGAAGGAGTAGGTCATTTGACTTTTTATCATCTGTAACTTGATTGACATTGAAGGAGAGGGGGAGAAGACGCACAGGAGAAGAAAAGGGGAAGAGA